TTTGATTTGTTTTCAATTGTATTTTGTTGACAGTGACATCGATTACAAAAATTTCATTTTTCATGTAATTTTCACAACTCTGTTTAGATATACGATTGACTTTTATTCAAAAACTTATGAAGCAAAAGTTAACAATTAGATTGATGTTTTTATCATAAAATACATAATGATAGAGTGTTAAAAATAGCAGGATGGCAACCGCACCTTTGCAATGAAGAAACAGGAAACACCCTGTAAGAAACTTCCACCTATTTCCTAAACGGCGTTTCCTTGAACATGCCTACATGATCCAGCATTCCTTGCCTCAACAAACAACTAACGGGCCCCGTTCGTCAACTATTATAACAGAGAAGTCCCACCTATGCAACGTCCATCAGAGTATTTGGCGACGGTGCCACGTCTTATCAATAAAAAACTTTTTCCAAAAAGTTTGACAGGGTTTTTATACTTTTTTATTGTTATCATTCTATTTTTATGGTTATCATTCTGCACTCTGCGTTCTGCAATTACCGGCTTTACAGATGATCTGAAATACAGGGTGTATCATTAATTTTAGGTGGTATTTTTTCCGATTTTAATGAAACTGGGTCTGTTTGTTAACAGTAACAAGTGGCTTCTTTTCATGAAATTAGATCAGGGGTAATAATTCCAGTGACGTCACAGAGGATTATCTGACTGATATTTATGGTAAAATCATTGTTCGCTGTTTTTCTCCAAGTTTGACTTTTTTATTAAATTAAACAATTAATTAAAAACAAGTGTTCGAAAACAATCTTTTATAGAAGAATTATTGGAATTATTGTCCGTATTCTAATGTGATGGCAAGAAGCCCTTTGTTACTGTTAATAAATATTAAAATCGGCAAAAAGACTTTTGAGTTATTAATGAAAGAAGAACGTTCATATGTTTCATAAAATATAAGTAATCACCACTCGAAATTATTGACGTCTTTCAAAATACCCTGTATATGACAATTTTTAACAATGCGGGAGTTATGAGAGTTGTGAATCAAAAAATAATAATGAATACCTATATCAAGTAATCAAAATACATTACTTACCTCACGTAAATTCTCCAAGTTGATTTTTACGTATATTTTAGGCAATATCCTTAAAAATAAGTCGCCAATACTCCCAGACACTTTCCGTCGGCCGCATTGCTTTGCAGACGCTTTAAAGCTTCCGAAATAATTACTCAACTTCACATAGATTATGATGCTCCATTTTCATATATGTCCACCAGGCAACTATTTAAAACCTTTTACAATAAGACAGACCGATCCAAGGGGCCAATCATCCCCTAAATTCAATTTTAATGCCTCTGTGGGAAGGAGCGCGAGGGCATTATCCACGGGCATGAGACTAAGTGAGACATGTATTAGGATATATTGACTTCTCTCTCTTACTCTTACTCTTTTACGTTTTACTCATTTCAATTATTTATTAGTATTTAAAAAGATCAGGTAAAAATTAGAAAATCAGGTAAGTAATCAAAAATTAACTTGTGAAAAATTGCTCATTTGACAACAATAATTCCAGAATTGTATCCTATAAGCTGTTTTGATGAATTAGAAAGAACTTAATATTTTTTTTAGAAATGTCAAAAACTCGATAGTTTATTGAATAACAGCATTTTTTTTAATTAATTATTTATTGGGAATTGATCATAAAAAAATACAAAGTAGAAAAATATTAATCTCTCAACATTTCTCAGTAGTGTCTCTAATCTTCATTATCAATTCATCATCCAGCCAATCTTGATATTGAATTTATAAATCTAAATCGTCATTGTCGTCATCTGCATTATCCTATTTCCTTCCACTTCTACTGTTAACAACAATTCAAACAATGACGATCTGAAAAAACTTAGAGACACAAAAAATATGAGAAACGAAAATAAATTACCTGATTGTTCTTCCAGCGACTCACTGACAAAACCCGGTAATTGATCCCCATCGAACCAATGAAAATCATAAGTACCATCTTTTAATGTCCAGCCATTATTTTCGGGTTTGAAAATATTTATCATCTTCATAGTTGCATTGTTCCAAACACCAGCAATGTAGTTAACCCGTCGGAACGGTTGCCAAAGCTCACTTTTGCAAGGAGGTGAGTGGCTGGCATCAAAGTTTTACAAATTTTTCCGATTGAATTCTTCATTAATGTCAGAAACCGTGTCAAACTGCGAAAGGCTTTTCTATACCGCTCTGCTGAAGCAAATAAGCCTCAAATTCAAATATTAGCACTGGCTCTGGCAAATGTGAATGTTTGATGTTGTTGAGTGCGTTATTTGTTATCAATAATATGCTATTGCCTCATGCAGAGATATGTGATTTGCTGGAGGTTCATCTCGTAAACAAAAAATGTTGTTGAAATGTTATTGTCGTTCCTTCACAAACATTCAAAAGTTCAAGCATTAGTGACAGGAAATCCAGAGTGGCTTGTAAGTGAGAAGTGCCCCAATTGGAGCATGTATTTGATCATCATTACCAAAATTTTCCGGAATATACAGAAGACTTTGGATTTTGCAACATTTTATAAACATTACCGATCAAAAAATTGCTACCAAAATTACAGGTCCGTATTTAAAAATTCCATACTTAAATGTCCCTCTGATTACACCCTATATGAATATTCTATGATCATATTCTAATAGTACAATGAAAGTTCTAATGGCGAATTATAGACAGATTTTCAATATCTATTCAAATAAAAAAGATAAAATTTTCGGGGTTTCCTCGTGGTAACCAGAAGAGCTACAGTCGATTTTTTTGAATCATTCAACAGTACTCGAAAATAGGCAACTTTGCCACTATTCAACCACCGACTCTATATCTTTTACTGTTTACCAAATCCCCATGCACATACTCGAAATGCGAATAACCCTTTGAATTCTGGAAAGAAAGGTTTGTTTTCTACTTCTACATCTTTATAATAAAATAAATGTGGGAATCTTCCAAAGGAAGGAACAAATCAATTAATTTCAAAATGAGCTAAAAATATACACGTTTCAATTTAAACAAGATTCCTATGACTGGAAATAAATCAAATGAGAGAAAGAATTTCATTACGTAGGTACTATCATCGATGGCATGAGTAGATTCAACACATTCGTGACATAAAGGCGTAATTTCATGGAAGAATTGAGTGATTTATCTTGTAATGTTATCCAGATTGATGCTGAAAAGTCAACAAGGTAAGTGACTTATTCCGAAACATCGGATGTCCGCCATTGAGGATGACACTGTTCCATGTAAGTGAAATTTTTCCTCTTTCATGAACTATATTGTGTAGCAATCCTGTGAATGATATTTGATTCAATTCGTTAACGAATACTTGGAATACAAACGGAATAAGAACATATTTTTTGATTTCTGAAGTATTTTTTCTTTCGCGTAATTTGAAGTTTATTTGAAAGTAGTTGTTTCGAAAGGGATTTTTCTTCCAGTTTTGTGTTTGAAAGTTATTTCTCTGTATGATCTATTCATCTTTGTGTTAGGAATCACACGTTAAAAGGTAAGACCTCGTTAGTCCTTAGCTCGCACAAGTTTCAACTTCTGAGGGTTGTCGTTCGTTGGGGTGCGACAGAAATTTTCTCCAATATTCATTTTATAATTGATTATTTATTGAAAAAAAATTTTTGAGTTCATAATTTTTTGCCTTTTGTGAACTATTCTTCAATTTATACAATGTGTGTCAAGAATAGAGGTTAACATCGGATGTTTCATTTAAAAGTTTTAGATACTAATAAACAGGGATTTTTCAAATTACTCAGTAATATAAAGGGTACCACGATGGATATTGGATTTATTCTAATATACGTTTGTGCAAGATACCTCACAGAAATATTTGGTGAATTCTCGTCGTTTACCCTGCGGCAGAAAAGTAATAAAGCTGCAAGAGTTTCAAGCCTTTCGTTATGGAAAAACACGTGCAAATTTAAGCAGGTCTATTCTGGCGATTTTACGACCTTCGACCTTCAAAGCCAACTCCAAGGTCGTTGGAAAGTGTTTCAAAGAGAGAGAGAGAAGGATGGAATGAGTATCGGAGATATTCAGAGACAAGAGCGTAGACTTGGTCTCTGTTGGGACTCTGCCTCATTCCTCGTGGCCCCTTAGGGCTTCACCCCTGAGCCCCCTTGTCGTGCACCATTCACGTGCTCCCAGTGGTCATCGGCAGCTGAGGAAAATTTTATTTAACGATCCATATGCCTAAGGTCGTCTGCCCAAGTCCATGCTCTTATCTTTGAATCTCTTCGATACTCATCCCATTCTTCTCTGCAACGATTGCGTCACACGTTTCTCTCTCCCACTCACTAAAGTCTCTGTCTGAAACACTTACCGACTACGCGCGACCTTGAAGTGCTCCAAGAGTCGCTTTGTTTCGCTACTGATTTAAAGTTTCCGCTGTACACGCGGTAGCTTCTGATTGGTCGACTGGATGACAGCAAAAGTGGAGAAGTGGGGACTACTACGTCACACGTGTCTCTCTCCCACTCACTAACGTCTCTCTTTCTCTCTGAAACACTTACCAACGACGCGTGATCTCGAAGTAGGCTTTGAAGCTCAAAGGTCGTAAAATCGACAAAATGGATATGCTCAAATTTGCACGTGTTTTTCCATTAGAAATGGCTTAGAACTCTTACAGCTATATTACTCTGAAAATCTCTGAAATGAATCAAGTGATCACCAACACACAGTTTTTGAAGTGCATCAGTGCAAGACCGATTTAAACAAGAGAGCAGTGCCTTTCTTACTCGAATGGTGATATCAGCCAGTTGTGTATGAGANGCCAGCTGTGTATGAGAGTAGGAAGGGGTGAATATTTTTAATTTCAATTCGAAATATTAATTTTGTTACCTCATTAAGTAACGGTGTAGTTTTTGGGGTTCTCCATTTCCAAGTCTCCATTCAATTAATTATCTTCAAAATTTTACCATTTTGTTTTGTTCAAAATGAATTGTCGTCCGTTTCATCCGGTTATAGAAGACAAATCAAAAGACGTGGCAACAACGCTATCAGGTTTCAGCTTTCTGCTGGCGCGACCAACTTACCTTTTAAATTGTTCGCTTGAAACTGCTGTTATAGCTTCGCGGGTAATAGGTGTTGTGTTTGACCGTAACTTTTCGTTAAATAACTCGAATTTCGGTACAAATTCTGTCTGATGATGACAGAAACGGTGGTCAATGTGCAAGAAGCGCCTAACAATAACATGGCGAATAAGCCGCAACAGACGAACCAGCAGCAGGATTCGCCCTTTTCTTGGATTAAAATCAATTTGGATTATTTCAAAACTGTGCCAGGACTACTGAAAATTGCAGAGTTTGTAAGTGTTTCAAACATACCGCATAAGCTTTTACAGAACGAGATTGACTTCCCACAAAACACACCTCTTATAAAATGTTTCGAATAAGTTCTCCACCTTCAGTTATATATTCTCCCAAAGGCAGCAATACTTCGTGGAGTGAAGCATGTCAAGAAGGTATTCTTGAGGCGCGCACCTAGAAAGTGAAGTTCACAATTGTAGTGAAGATGAATCCGTGGCCCACTAATTTGCATGAACCTAACCCGTAGTTTCTAAAATTGTGAAATTTGTTTGAAAGTATGTCAAACAAACTGAAAAAATGGACCGCTCTGAGAACAGAAACGGAGAATTAGTTCATTTAGAAAAGAATGCACGAATATAAGGAGCGTCTCATTTCTATTCTAAGAGAATCGCACCACTTCACTTTGAAATAAATTGAATATATTTTTCGCTCTTTCTCGAACTATGGTGAATATTGATTGTTTCGGTTTCCAAAAAATTATAAACTGAGAGAGAAAAATGTTGAAAGGCATATGTCATATATATTCTAAGAAAATCGCTTTGAAATAAATTAAATTATTCTTCCATCAAGGTAAATATTGAGTAATTTGGGTTGAATAGAAAAATATTGAATTGATTGTTGCTGGTGTTTCAAAAAAACATAAGCTAGGAGTCTTAGTGGAAAATATGTCGAAAAGCGCGTGTCACTTCTATTTTTGAAAAATCGCACACGTTTACTTTGAAATAAATCAAATAGATTTTTCACTTTCCATCGAATTGATGTGAATATTGAAGTGTTTAGTTAGAGAAATATTGAATTGATTGTTGCTGGTATGTTTAAGACTTTACATTCATGTTTATCACTAGAATACGACACTTATAGTTTGTGATTCTATTTTAGTCGAATGTAAACGTCAGTGTCACATGGATTTTTCCACATATTCTGAAATTTCTATTTTGTCCAATCCTCACTAGCCCTGTGAATTTTCCAGTTTGAATTTGGGGACTCTCCTCCGTTATTATAAAAACAATTCAGGTACTTTTATAGATAAACAAATTCAACTCAGTTTTCAAATGAAAAACCAGAAGGTTCGATATATAATTCAAAAAGTCTAAGATGAACTCCAAGAGATTCATGGTGGATTGAAATTAGCGGAAAATTTTGAGACGTCAAAAGAAAAAATGAAGACATGGGTGGAATCAAAAAGAGTCTACGAAATGATTAATCAGCAAAAGTAGATACCTAACGAAGCTATTTCATCAGTTAGCGAAAAAATCATTTTATTGGAAATACAAACATATGTTCACAGTTTCAGCTATTTGACATGTTTGTTGGTGAGAGGTATAAAAGTTAGAACTGTCAGAAAAATGTTTACAAGTGATACAAGTTTTTCACAGAAGATGGAGAAGATGTGAATAAAGGGAAATAGAATAATTTATTATTTTTTGATGAAAATTAAAATTCACCTTCATTTTTTGAAAAGACAACGAATGTACTCTCATTATTTATTCATTACATTTACTGCAATTATTAATTTCGAAACTGATAAAGCTTCTGAGGAGATTAATTATCAAATTATGTCCAATTTAATGATATTATCATTTTATGTCTATAATTGTTTATATATTCATGTCATAACATGATTTTAGAATGTTTCTAAATATTTGTGGGCATATATAAAAAATACAATTCAATAGGTAGAGACATGGTTTATTGTCGGATTCTGTAACATTTTCATAAATAGTCTTCCAAGTTTTCTGTAAGGTTGCCTCTGCCAGTGAAAATGTTTGTTCTAACATTATTATGTCGAATGATAATAAATTCAACCTTAGAGTCAATACCATGAATTTATGGTATTGATTTGTACTAAGTTGCTGTCAGCATAAACTGAAATTTCCTCCAGATATAAAACTTCTTGTTGTTGGCGTTGATATTAGGAATCTACATTGAAAAACGAGACAGTGTCTAACAATAGAAAAAGGATTGGAGACAATAAATGAGTTTATAAATCCATTTCTGATGGATTGCTTCAACCAATGGAAACCCGCTAACGTTTCGAATGGACCAACAGATGAATCCATCGAATTCACCAGTGGACTTATTCTTGAATTTAGGAACTCTATGAATCTGGATTCTGCTGTTAACAGACACGGTTCAAAGACTTCGGCTCTTCTTCAAAGAAAGTTACCTGTTGATGTTTGCTTCCGGAAATCAGAATGATGACCTTTAAGCTGTAGAAGCATTTCAAATACAGTAAATATAAGTTCACAGACCATGTAAAGAATGAACGAGTGTTCGTCACTTCTAATATATTCAGTAGGTACTTGAAATAACTCATTTCACTCAGAAATACTCAATTCCATCACACTTCTTTTACGCTTTGTATTCAAAAGGATCATTGCCGAAAGGTGGCGGTGCAAAGAAAATATTCTTTGTGGAAATAATGAATCATTTGTAAGATGCTGCTTGACCGATAGGTGGAAATTTCAACCATTGATGCTGCTAGTGTTTTCAACAAATAAAGACCTCAAACGATAAATAACTAATCGTTACAATTGATTGTGAAATATGGAATAATTTTATTGTTTTGGGAGATTTGAGTTCTCTAATTGCGAATTTGTGCGAGTAATGTTTTTGGTATTATTATTATTGATATGAGAAACTGAATAATATACTTTCATTAACGGAAAGCAGAAGAAACCACAACGATTTGTTGAATTAACTGATAAGACTTTGTTTTTCAATATTTTAAACTTTCTTACTTAGAATAACAGATTAAAAATAATTGCCGATGCGTACTGATGCATGCATAGTTTTTTAAGTACATTGAGTAAAATTATTATGTTTTGTTTAGTATAAAATGAGAATCTGTGCCTTGTGAAGTCACAGGTGATTATTGCTGGTGAAACCACCGATTTTAGTTTACTTCACGACCATTGAGCGCCATATTCCTAAATTAATTCCCAAGCCAATGAGGCGTTCTAAAATGTTTTTCGTTCGCCTAATTAGTATTAATTTATTCGTAATATATAATTAGTTCCTAGTGTGACCTGAATTAGCAGGACACTTTTAGATGTTTCATACGGTAAACAGTACTAAAAAAGGCATTCAGTCGTATGAAAGAGACACAGTTTATTAATGTGTTATGTAAGTGTTACAGGATGTCTGAAAACTGAATGCTTCAACATTCGTTGAGTCTCATAATATTAATTGAAATAACATCTTTCGGATCATTACTTGAAGGAGGTTATTGCTCTAGAAACCTCTTTCATTTATTCCCTTTTACTACAAAGTTTCTCTAAACGTCTAAATTCTAACTGCTGAAATGTACGACATCGGTATTAGAGTTTAATGTGTTACATATATAAGGTAAAAAACTGGAAGTAGTACCGAACTTCTGTGCCAGAGCATTGACACTATCTGGAAATGAATTATACTATACAGTGTGTTTCTTGACGAGGGCTAGTTAGAAGTATTTCGAAAAAAGTACAGCAATTGAACACCTGTAGATTTAGGATTATCTATTAGTGAACTTAGTGTACTCGAGAACCGTTTAATAAACTGAAACCGGTCGTAACAAATAAAAATCTTGGTAGAAATTAAACAAAAGTATATTTTTTCTATCTTATTTTCAATATGAATTTACACAAAATAAATAGGTCATCAATTATACAAGTAAGCGTATGCAACTCTCATGTAATGGTTATTAATACACTCGCATATACCATACAAAACTCGCCTTCGGCTCGTTTCGTATCCCGGTTAATGCTCGTGTCTTAATAACCATCATTACATGATCGTTGCATAATATACTATTACTCTTATTCTAAACATTTTGTTGGTCAAATTTGCATATCTTATATCTGAGGGTAAGCGATTAAACATCTTGACCCCGTTGTAGTAAATAGAATTCCTGACCAAATTTATTAAAGGAATTGGAAATTTCGATGCGGTGGAACGGGTGCTATAAGAATGGCATGAAGCATCAAATAGGGACATATTTTTGTAAATGAGGCAAACCGATTCCAGAATAAACAAAGCAATCACTGTTACAATCTTTTGTTCAACCAATTTGTCTGCATGAATCACGAAGTTTAGACTTACACATATACCTGATAGCCCGTTTCTGCAGTACTAATACAGACAGAAGTGCTGATGAATTGCATACTCCCCAAAACGGTATTCCATAACGTAGGTGGGATTCAACGAGGGCGTAATACACCGTTCTGGCAGTTTTGATTCCCAAATTTATTGAAATTACTCTCACTGCATAACATTCGGATGGGTTTTTTCTTACAGTTTGTATCTGATAGAAACTTCTGTTCATAATCTACACTTCTGTGCAAGAAGTGTATATTGAAGTTAATTACCTTCTTCTTTTCTTTAGAAATTTTCCACATTTTTTGTATGAATTTGAAGAAGTAGTAAGCCAAGAAGTTTTTTCCCAAAAATCAAATCTCTCCTGAAAACCCATCTCCCGTTCAATTTTTTAAGCATTCAGGTTACGTTTCGCGACAAAATTACATTTTTTTTTCGGATTGAATACATGTTGTACATTGTGAATGTACAAATAAGGTTGAAACTCCCAAGTAGCAGCTGGCATACAGACATTGTCGACATTCATTTCTGTCATACGAAATCACAATGAAAAATTACATTGATCTAATGGCCCGGTTTATCAACCATTCAGTGACTAAAAAACGTGATGCCATAAATAATCGTTAATCGAATTTGCCTAGAAGATGGGCACCGGAAAAGTCAACTCTTCAGTTGATTGCCAATCAGTTAATATCGATGTCACATACTTTATGATTAACTGAAGCCGGCATCAAGCGGAATACAGTTAAATTCCATCGTTAACAAGTTTTCAAACACAAGTGTTTAATTGCTTCTGAAAATATCGACGACTATATAATTTGAGTGCATAATGGAAAATGATTTCATTATTCGTTTGAATACATAGCAAAGGCGTAATCTCAGGTGGGGCAGACGTGGGATTGGTTTTGAAATTGATTACAGA